ACTTCCTCCACAATTCAAAGGCTTTGGTCTTCTTTATTTCTTGTCTAACTCATATCATAGAAAGCAATTGAAAATACCATGGCTTGGATTGAAGGCATTTTAATTTTTAAACTGACATTCTTGTTCTTTAGCCTTTTGGAGAGATCCTTGGTAGCTGAGTTTCCCAGTACATCTTTTGATTCCTTGGTTGTAACTACAATGTATGTTGCTTGTGAATCCAAGTAAAAGGAAATCTTTGACAACTTCAATCTTTTCTCCACCTATCATGATGTTGCTTATAGTTCTGTGGTGATTTTTCTCTTCTTAATAATGAGATAATGGTTTATATTGTAGTCTTTGATCTTCTTCAGTAAGTATTTCAAGTCTTCACTTTTTACAAGCAAGGTTTTGACATCTGCACAGTGCAAGTAATTTACGGATCTTTTTCCAATCCTGATGCCACATTCGTCTTCATATCAGTCAAGTTCCTTGAGGGATGTGCTCAACATACAGATTGAGTAGGTATTGAATTGGAGAAAGGACACAGCCCTGACACACACCTTTCCTGTTTGCTTTTGTTCTATGTATATTGGTTTTGCATGAGTACAGGTAAGTGTTCTGGGATTCCCAGTTTCAAAGTTACCCACAATTTCTTAAAATCCACAAAATAATTTTGCATAGTTAATCAAACACAAACTTCTTTCTAGAGTTCTCTGCTTTCAGTCAAGACCCATCTGACATCAGCAGTGAGATCCTTTGTACCACGGCCTCTTCTGAATCCAGCCTGACTTTCTGGCAGATCCTTGATGAACTGATCCAGTCATTTTTTTTATAGTCTTCAGCAAGGTTTCACCTGAGTGTGATAATAACAGTGTTTGATAATTTCTGCATTCTGTTGGATTGCTTTTTTTTTCAAAACTGAACACAAATATGGATCTCTTCCAGTCAGAGGGCCAGGTAGCTGTCTTCCAAATTTCTTGGCATATAATAGTACATCCAGGACTAAATCTATATGCTGAAACACCTCATTGGTATTCCATCAATTTCTGGAGGGATTTCCCTCCCCCCAGTGCGTTCAGTGCAGCTTTGACATTTTCTTTCATTATCATCGGTTCTTGATTATATACAACTTCCTGAAATATTTCAGTATCAAGAATTCATTTTG